TCTGCCCTAGAGATTCTGGAAGGAATGTGGCCCTGACAACACCTGGGCTTGAGCCCCGTGAAACCTATTTTGGATTCCTGACCTCCAAAAACTGTAAGAGAATAAATTTGTGCTACTTTTAAGCTAATAAATCTGTGGCACTTTGTTACAGCAGCCACAGGAAACGAATACAGTACCATGGACTCCTCAGAAGAAGACATTAGTCAAGGTGGTGCCACCTGGGCTTAGTTAAGAGAACTGCTTCTGGCTGCGTTGGCTGAGTATCTGGCAAGGATCCAGGGGTGACATGTGGCCTCCTGGGGCTACCACCACTTGGTACCCAGCTGTGGGGGCCAGAGAGAGCAGAGGCCATTGCACTAAACTGGCAGGGTCCCCTGTGCCAGATTCATGGTCCGGGCACCCCTGGTGCCGGCAGGGGACGTGCCGTCTCGACCACATCTTGTCTTGGCATTGGTTTCCCTTACAGGTTCATGATGTTGGTCTTGGTGCACAAAACGAAATGGCAGCCCACCCAAATGTATTCCTCTTAAATCATAAAGGATCTTTTTTTTTTTTTTAAAGATTTTATTTATTTATTTGACAGAGAGAGACACAGTGAGAGCAGGATCACAAGCAGCGGGAGAGGGAGAGGGAGAAGCAGGCTTCCCGCGGAGCAGGGAGCCTGATGCAGGGCTCAATCCCAGGACCCTGGGACCATGACCTGAGCCGAAGGCAGATGCTTAACGACTGAGCCACCCAGGTGCCCCTCATAAAGGATCTTTGTTAAACCATCTTGGTAACAACTTTTTTACGGCTGTTCAAGTCAATAGCGCCGGCACCATCCACTAACTCCTTCCCCTCACACCCTGCAGCCTATCCATGGTAAAGCCACCCAACTCCAGCCTCACGGTACTGTCCAAATCAGGGAGTCTCGCTACCCAGTCCCAGCTGTGGTTTTCTCTCACTGGACAACGAAGGAAACAGTCTGCCAGCAGGTTCCCTGATGCTCCTCCTTCTTCCCCACAGTGAGCTCTCCATGCAGCAACCACCATCCTCTGAGCAACACAGCTCAGAGCATCTCACTCCCTGGACAGAAACTTCCTGATAGTTCATCATGACACAGGAAGATTATCCAAACATTGGCTCTCTCATCTCATCGCCTACTTTTTCTCTTGGTGAGCCCTAACCGAGCCTTCTTATTATTCCTCAAACATACTGGTCCTGCCTTCGGGATCCCACCCTCACTGTAGCAGTCACTGCCTTGAGGACTGGACCTGGAGTGCTGACTTCATAGGAGCTGTCTGGGAACTCCAGCAGCCTGACACCTGGAGGCCAGGGGTTCCATGGGAGAAGGGGGTGCAGCCAGGGGGAGTGGAGCCTGGGCAGCCCTGTAAAGGGAGAAGGGGACCATCCCATCCTCCGGTCAGCTGGTTCACCAGCAGGGAGGGACTCCACAATGCAAGAGATTCATCCAAGTTGTGGCAAGAATTATGGTTGTCTTTTTTTTTTTTTAATAAGATTTTATTTATTTACTTGAGAGAGAGAGGGAGAGAGAGGGAAAGAGTGCCAAGTGGGGTGAGGGGAAGACGGGGAGGAAGAAAAAGAGGGAAAGAAGCCTAAGCGGGCTCCACGCTGAGTGCAGAGCCCAACGTGGGGCTCGATCTCATGACCCTGAGATTAGGACCTGAGCAGTAACCAGAGTGGGACACTTAACAGACTGAGCCACCCAGGGGCCCTTATCACAGTTGTCTTTTATTACTGAGCGGTATTCCACAGTATGGAAGTTTATTTATCCCTTTACCCTATGAGGGACATTTGTGTTGTTGTCAGGTTTTGGTGATTATAAGCAAAGTTGCTACAAATGTTCATGATATTCATATACAGGTTTTTTGTCTGAGCGTGAGCTTTCATTTCTCTAGGGCAAACACCTGGCAGCAGGGTTGCTGAGTGACATGGTGAGTATACATTTAACATCACATGAAATTTCCCAACTATTCTTTGGAATGGCTGTACCACCTTCCACCCTCACCAGTGGTGTATGGTCCTCTGCATCTTTTCTAGAGGACTGTCGATGGACTTTGTAATTTAGCCATTCTGTTAAATATGTGGTGGTATCTCACTGTGGTTGTAAATTGTATTTCTCTAACGATGTTGATCATCTTTTCATCGCATATCTTTGGTAGAGTGTTCAAAAAAATGCTTTTGGCTATTTTTTTGTTTGGGTTGTTTCTTATTTATATATTTTGCATTTAAGTCTTTTGTCAGATGAGATGTGCAAATGTTTTCTACTGGCTTCCTTACAATGTTCTTCATAGAGTATAAGTTTTTACACTTGATGAAGTGTCATTTATCATTTTTCCTTTTATACATCATGCTTTACATGTTGTATCTAAGAACTCTAGGAACACCTGGGAGGCACAGTCAGTTAAGCATCTGCCTTCAGCTCAGGTCATGATCTCAGTGTCCTGGGATCGAGCTCTGCATCGGGCTCTGTGCTCCACAGGGAGTGTGCTTCTCCCTGTCCCACTGCCACTCCCCCTGATCATGTTCTCTCTCTCTCTCTCTCAAATAAATAACATTTTAAAAAGAGAACGCTCCACCTAAACCTGGGTCATATCCTATGTACTTTTAAGCATTTTATATTCTACATTTTAGTCTGATCCATTCTGAGGTAATCTTTGTATATGGTGTGAGGCACAGGTCCAGTTTTGGTCTGCAGATGTCCAGCACCTTTTACTGAAAAGACTTACTTTCCTCCACTTAATTGCCTTTGGTTCTTGGTCAAAAACCATTGGGCCATATTTGTGGGTCTATTTCTGAACTCTCCATTCTGTTTCATTATCTGTCTTCCCAGACACTGAATTGCCTTGATTATAGAGGCTTTAAAGGATGCTTTAAAAATCAGATCATGTTAGTCCTCCAACTTTATTCTTCTCTTTCAAAATTGTTTTAACTATGCTAGTTCCTCTCTCTCTCCCTCTCTTTCTACATATATATGTGTGTGTGTGTACATACATGTATATATGTATGTATGTATGTCTATATGTACATGTATGTATATGTATATAGCTTAGAATATACATATATCTGTATATTTATATACATATCTACATATACATGAATATGTATATAGTTTAGAATCAGCTTATCTGTATCTTCAAAGAATACTCCTGAGATTTTAATTGGGAATGTATTAAATCTATAGATTGTTTTAAGGAGGAGTGACATTTTAACTATACTGAGTCTTCTAATCCATGAACATAGTATGTCTCTCCATTTATTAGTTCTTTAATTTTTTTAACCAGTATTTTATAGTTTTCAGCATACAGATCCTGCACATATTTTTATGTCAGATTTACACTTGAGTATTTCAATGTCAACCCTGTATTATTACATCCTTGTATCTTGGCAATTTGTTCTAAGAGCTTTTTTGTAGATTTCTTGTGATTGTCTACATGGACAATCATGGTGTCTATGAATAGAAACAATACCATTTCTTCCTCTCTAACCTAAATGTCTTTTATTTCATTTTCCTACCTTATTGCAGTTGTACTTCATTCATTCACTCATGTGACCAAGTGGTCCAGGTTCTGCCTGAGCACTGGAAGTTCACTAAATAACAGGTTTCACTTCCTGCCTTTCTCATGTGTAGTGGTTAATCCCACATATAGTTACCATATGCTAAATTTGCATCTGGCTCTGTTTCTATGTATGATTAGTGGGAGAATATTGGCAGTACACCGAGCAGAAACACGGAGGCATCAAGGGAGTTGGTCTTTACACATGGCAACAGTAAATACTGATTCTCATGTCTGACCTCTCTGCTCAAAGTCCCAGAAGAATAGATTGGGTACAGAATCAAGCACAGATGTATATCCTCATAAAAGATAAAGAACATTTTTTCCTCTGAGACATGAGGGAAGGAAGAGCTGACTGATAAAGACACAGAAACATTGTGAATTGGAGAAAAGGAAGACAGGGTATTCATTCATGGAACCTGGAGGTATAAATGATATTTCTTACAAATAAATGGGGATCAGTACAAATATATAATTAGGTAAGGTAGTCCCCAATTGCCACCAATGCAAATAGTACTTTTGGGGGGGAATTTCAAACTTTTCCACTTCATGACTTTAAGCACTAATGTCACAAACATCTTATACCAGAGCGCTGCGGGGTTAAGTCATGACATGAAAAAGACCACAGCAGTTCTTAAAAATACATCTGTAGTTTGTTTGTGTATTATAATTCTACTGGCTTAAATTAACACAGTATTAATATAATATATTCTTAGGGGGAGGAGGAAGGAGGGTGGATATGTAGCATATTCAATATAGCAACACAAGTAAGAAATGACAGTACTCTCATCAGATAGCATTGCTTTGGAGGGACCACAGGTTGAGGATCAAAGTAAAAATAGAAAGAGTAACTAACAATCTCAATTACTATGAATAATGAAAACAATGATTTTTTAAAAAAACTACCTTTAATGCACAGAAATAAGGGCAAGTTATGTTACAGATAGATATGTGTAAGATAAAACATATCCAAATGGGATTAAATGAACATGTTTCATCCTAAGTAAATCCATCTGTAAAAACAATCACTGAATTCTTTTGGCTTTTTAAACCATCACTAACATAGGTCACATTATTTCTTGGTCAAACACAGAAGAAAGTTCATTTGACTGTGAGAACACGCATTTTGTGTTTTCATTCCAAGCCTGTTCTAATCTTATTTCTGCCAGGGGCTGAGGTCTGCATCCAGAAGGCCACTCTCCTGCTTTCGGTCCTCACCACACTCCCGTTCCCAAGGGATCAGCAGTGGCTGGAGGTGCTGGGCCAAAGGGAGAAGAGTTCAAGGAGAGAACAGACGGGATTCTCTGCTCACAGGGAAGTGTGCAAATCCACACGAATGCGGATCTAGTGCTCTAGTGTCACCGCCTCAGAATGACCACAGCTATAGAAACACCGTCTGTTTTCATATACGTATTTGCAACATCTGCTTACACAGCGGCTTACCCATTCATAGGAGAGAATCCAGCAGCCACGCGCAATTCCCAGCAGCACGTTCAGGGTGCGCAGAGGACTCCCGGTGAGCACGTGAGAAGTAGTGCCACACACTTCCCGGGCAAATGAAAAGCCCTTCAACTTATGCACCACCTGGATGATGATGCTCTGCTTTCTGTTAAATAGGAGGGGGAAAATCAACAAAATGACAATGCTTCCTGCATATGAACATCAAGGTGATTACACTGAATAATTAAAAAAAAAATCTAGAAAGCTAAAAATCTACATTGATCTCAGCTATGGAGCTCACATTTTAATTTCTTTACAATCAATGACATAAAATTTGGGGAAATAAAAAAACTTCAGTTCTCCGCTCCAACTGTCTATTTTAATGGCTGACGAAGCTGCCCCAGGCTTAAGTGACTTCGCCAGATGCCCATGGGCGGGAACACAGCAAGCATCAGAAATGGTCCTAGCTCTTCCCACCACCATTACTTCTCAGACAGGTCTGAACCAACCTGCACACATTCAGGACCAAGCTTATCACTTGCTTATTTTATTTGAAATATAACATTTTTGAATTCACACATACAGTTTATTCTAGTAAGAGGGGGAAAAGGGCCCTGTTCATTACATTATCAGATCAAACCTTAGGGCAAATTTGGCAGAGGCTCCTTATTTCTACAAAGCCCATCATCGTTTGTCTTCCGGTCTGTCATTCCATTAGTGCCTTAAGTACCTTTTAAGAAATATATATTCTTCCCAACTTCCTCAACAAATTGCTCACCATTTTCCCTCTCTTCCCTTTACAATCACCTTACTAAAAAGCCCTTGGCTCTGACACGTTGCATTTCCCTCTCCCTCCAAGTTTGGGAAATCCCCCATGAAATACAAAGGACATGAAGGGCTTTCTAAGCCACACTATGACGTACCCAATGAGTTAAGAGATAAATTTCTCTCCTCTCCAAAAATTATTATGAAGAGAAAGAGGCTGTTCTTGCCACTGCGACGGCCACCTCTAAAAATGCCCCATGGACTTCACAGTCCTTCCTAGTTTTATCTCTACCATCTTGGGCATGTCAATCTCAAGACCTATTTCTTTACAAGTGAAATGAAAGGGCAGCACTGTACCACACTTCAAATTCTTAGAGATCCCTAGGGCAAAAAAAGACGACTGGGGCAAGACGTGGGCCCCATCACCACTTCAACCAGAGAATCTGTGCATATTGGGGTGATGGAAAATATTAAATTTGGGGGAAACATAAAGAAAACAAAAGCATAAGGAAGTGAACAGCTCTAAACCATACGCTCTCCAGAACCCTGCATTTCCATGTATCAATGATTTTCCTTATTTCAAGTCTGGCAGCTGCCTGCTATTTGTTGGATGTGTTAATCAACAACAAGTGTCTCTTTGAGACACAGCTAATCAATGTGGCATCGGAACGTCTAGGTCTTGTTCTTAGTGTCAGACAAGAAGTATATGTTGGGAGTGGGGAGAGAAAAATAATAAAAAGAGAATACGGCTTAAATAAAAAGTTTGATTTTTAAAACTTGGATGGAGAAAATAACTATTTACTAATGTGTTTTAGATTGGGGGCAAAAATATATATTTTAAAAAAATATCACACCCACCATCCTCAATTTTCACTTCCATATTAGATGATTTAGAATGTTCAGTATATTTCGTAAGAGATTAACACAAATTGTGAGAGTGCTCCTTTTTCACTAGCTAATGTAGTGTTTGAAGTATCAGTCCTTTCGATTTCATATGCCATGGGTAGGAAAAGGATCCTACGACAGAAAGTATTATAAGCATGCAATTTTCTGCAGGCTATTTTTCACTGAAATGTCCCAATGTTTTGACGAATACCTTAAAACCTTAAAATGTATGATTGATACTAAAAAAAAACAAAACAAAACACATGGTTTTCCCCTTTAAACAGGAACTCAAAAATCTGTTACAAAGAATATGGTGCTGTATTTTTGTTGGATGTGCTATATATTGTGTTAAATGTTTAAGGAAGATGATAAGAGCATGCCAGCAAGCTCTTAACTCTTTCCCAAAATGTGTAGATAGAGGGTTTAATAGAGTTGTAGAGAGCTTCCCAGCAAAGTGTTTCTTTAAGAACTTTGAGGGATTCAGCCAGTGATGCTCCATTTATTGAACTTCCATGGGGTGTAAGTGGTGGACACACAGAGACAGTAAATACGAAGCAAGCAAGAGGAACAGCAAAATACTACAATACCTCTTAATGCTATGTAAACAAAGTCTTCAGCGCTAAACTGTTCATAGTCTTTTAACCACCTTTTTTTATTTCCAGTGTTCTTCTAACTCCAACATCAATTTTATAGAGTAACAGCAACATAGTGCAAAGCTACAAACTGCCTTAAAAGCGCAGCATCACAGTATATGAAAGAAAAATCTAAAATTTTACATTGAGTAGAAAGTTATCAAAACAATGAGTACTTACTCAGATGGCATGCTTGTCATGACTAATGTTCTTGTTGGCTAGAGATTTCAAAAGAGAAGGAACAAAAAACAGTCAGAAGTATAAAAAACATTTTTTCCCACAGAAATTAACTTTAATACATTTTTTGAAAAGTTACATCACTTAAAAAATAAACATTTAAGCATATATCAAAGTAAAAAAACTTTAAATTCCTGGAAAAAAAAAGAAAAAAAAAAAAACAGCCCGAGAGATACAAACTCAGATACTATCCCCAAACCAATCCAAAATAATTCCAGAACATGAGGTAGAGGAGTGTGTGTGGCGGGGGGCGGTGGGGGGGTGGACAAAAAAGCTTCCCTCCAGAAGTCTATTCTCCTAGTTAGCTAGCGGACCTCTAAATGTGCCATTCTGCTTAGGGACTTGCAAGGAAGAAGAGGGTAAGAAGGCATTTTTTGCAGGCTGAAGAGCCATTTTTCTAAGGTTTCTAGGCGACTCTAGCCCTGCTTCAGTCACACATACACAATACTACTCGTGCTCCTGGTGCCTGGGTCCCTCAAATGCTTTAACCTCTTGCACACAGAGGCTCAAATAACGGGACTGGTTCTTCATGGGTTAGCATCTGCTATTAATTGGAACTGTAAAGTTTCTTTTTTTTTTTAAATAAGTTTTTAAATACCATTTTTACTTATATAGGTACATGTTGATGGCATAAAAACATATATATTAAATGCTTTGGAAATATGTCATTAGAAATATAAATTCCCTTATAATTCTACCAGCCAGAAAAGACTACTGTTTAATAATTTGGTATATATTCTGCCAAATGTTCTTTCCATGGGAGTGTATGTATATATATAATTAAAATAAAATGGACTCACATTATCCATACATTTTTGTAACTGAGATGATACACTGAATGCAACCACTGTGTAGTATAACCATGAACTAACCATCACACACTTACTGTGTCTTGAAAGGTCATGTGAATAAATGAGAAGGAACAAAAGGCATTCAAAGGACCCTATGTCGACATGCATGGTGGAGTAGAAGGGGCCTGTGTACTGTATGGGTATATTTGAGGAAAGTAGAGGAATGAGAATGAAGAGGTAATATGAATCAAAAAGATATTCAAAGGAAGAACTCAAAGAAGTGTCAGATGCGCTAAGTCAGGATGATCGCTGAACTCTTGTCAGTTGTCCCTCCAGAATAGTCTATTGTTAGCTCTCATCTGTTTTGGATACAAAGCGAACAACTACAGCATAGCTTTGTGGGCTCAGTCTGTGGAGACAAGACCTTTATGTAGGAGTCTCTAATCACCAAGGGAGATTCTGGAGGAACCTAATCACGATCTTCGAGGTTATCCTTGAATGAAAGCTATGCAGGGAGATTCTGGGGGAGCCTATCACGATCTTCGATGTTATCCTTGAATGAAAGCTATGCAGGGAGATTCTGGGGGAACCTAATCACGATCTTCAATGTTATTCTTGAATGAAAGCTATGCAGTGATGTGACCAGGCCCAAATAAAGTCCAAGAGGCACTCCTTCCACGACATCTACAAAAGATGCCAGTGGAGTGTAATCTGGGGAAAGTAACCCACGGAAGGTAGGGGAAGGGAAAAGGAAATCTCCTGACTTCTCCAATGCTGGGCTACCTCTCCATGGCTTTGCCCTTCTTTACCTGCACCCCCTCTCCAGGTGATCTTTCACACAGCCTCATGGCTTTATAAATCAGCCCACATGCTCACAATCCCCAATTTTGTATCTCTAGCACAGACCTATTTCCTGATACTCAGATCTATTTCCTGATACCCAGACTACTGACTACATTAAGGAGGGCCATCTGGAGGTCTAATAAGGGTCTTGAATTCAACTTGTCCAAAACTGAGATACTATTCCAGTCAGGCAATTAGGCAAGAAAAATGAAATAAAAGACACCCAAACTGGAAAAGAAGTAAACCTATCTCTACTCATAAATGAGATGATCTTATATACAGAAAACTCTAGAGAACACAGAAAAACTGTTAGAACTCATAAATGAATCCAGCAAAGTCACAGGATACAAAAATCAGTGTGCAAAAATCAGTCGTATTTCTATACATGAATAATGATCAGAAAAGGAAATTAAGAAATAATTTCATTTATATTAGTGTCCCAAAGAATAAAATACTTGGAAATAGTTAATAAAAGAGACGCAAACACCATACACTGAAAATTAAAAAAAAAAAAAAATCGATGAAAGAAATTTGAAAGGACTTAAATACATGGAAAGACATCCTGTGTTTATGCACTGGAAAACTTAGTATTATAAGATAACAAGACTGTCTAAAGCACCTTTAATGCAATCTCTATCAAAATCCCAATGGTGAGTTTTGTAGAAATGGAAAAACACATCCCAAAATTCATATGGAATTCCAACAAAACCCAAAATAGCCAAAATAATCTGGAAAAGGAAACACAAAGCTGGTCTGATGCTTCCCAATTACAAAACTTACTATAAAATTACAGTAATCAACACTGTATGGTATTGGCATAAGAACAGATACGAACACAGATAAGAGAAGAACAGATATGAATACAGAGCTGAAAGCCCAGAAATAAACTTTCACATCTAAGGTCAACTGATTTTTGACCAGGGTGGGTACACAGACCATTCATGTGTAAAGAATAGTCTCTTCAACAAATGGTGCTGGGAGAACAAGATAGCCACAGACAAAAACAATGCTGGACCTCTACTTTACACCGCATACAAAGATTTACTCAAAGTGGATCAAAGACCTAAATTTAAGAGCTAAAGCTATAGAACTCTCAGAAGAAAACATAAGGGAAAATCTTCATGACCCTGGATTTGGCAATAGTTCCTTAAATAGGGCAAAAATAAAAATAAATAAATAAATTGGAATGCATCAAAATTAAAAACTTTGATGCATCAGAAAATACTATCAAGGTGCCTGGGTGGCTCAGTCGTTAAGCGTCTGCCTTCGGCTCAGGTCATGATCCCAGGGTCCTGGGATCGAGTCCCACATCCGGCTCCCTGCTCAGCGGGAAGCCTGCTTCTCCCTCTCCCACTCCCCCTGCTTGTGTTCCTGCTCTCGCTCTCTCTCTGTCAAATAAATAAATAAAATCTTTAAAAAAAAAAAAAGAAAATACTATCAAGAGAATGAAAAAGATAATCCACAGAATAGGACAAAATATCTGCCAATCATATATCTGAGAAGGGTTTAATATCCAGAATACATAAAGAACTCCTACAACTCAACAACGACAAGAAGACAAACAACTCATTTTAAAAATGGGCAGGGTGGTTGGGGGACTCAGTCTGGTAAGCATCTGACTCTTGATTTTGACTCAGGTCGTGATCTCAGGATCCTGCGAGTGAACCCCACATCAGGCTCTGCACTCAGCATAGAGTCTGCTTGGGAGTTTCTCCCTCTCCCTCTCTGCCCCTCCTACTTGTGCTCTCGCTCTCTCCCTTTCTCTCTAAAATAAATAAATAAATCTTTTTAAAAAATGGGCAAATAACTTGAATAGACATTTCTTCCAAAGAAGAAAAGCAAATGGACAATGAGCACATGAGAAGATGTTCAACATCACTAAATAGGGAAATCCAAAACAAAACCTCAGTGAGATACCCCTTCATACCTGCTAGGTTGGCTACAATCAAAAATGTGAAAAATCACAAGTGTTGATTTTTAAGTATGATGCTGCTATTATGGAAAACAGTTTGGTGGTTCCTCAAAAAGTTAAGCCCAGAATTACCATACAGTCAAAACACTTACTCCAAGGTATTTACCAAAAAGGACTGAAAACAGGGACTCAGATACTTGTGTGAGAATTGTCGGCACAGCATTATTCACAAGAGTCAAAGGGTGGAAACTGCCTACGTGCCCAATAGATGAATGGCTATGATTAATCTGCCGTTTACATGCAATACAGTATTATTATTCAGCCATAAAAAGTAATGAATTAGCTCTAATACATATGACAACATGGATGACTCTGAAAACAGTGTGCTAAGTGAAAAAAGCCAGACATACAAGGCAAATATTGTATGACTCTACTTATATAAAATATCTAGAATAGGTAAATTCACAGAGACAGAAAATAGAACAGACTCCCAGGGGCCAGCGGTGGGGTGGGGGATGGGGAGTTGTTGCTTAATGAGTTCCAAGTTTTATTCTGGAATGAAGAAAATGTTTTGGAAAGAGATAGTGAGGATGATTGCATAACAGTGAACACTGACACTGAACGGTACACTTAAAAAATGATTAAAATGGCAAATGCTATGTTGTATGTATTTTATCACAATAAAACAATTACACTACCAATCTTCTCTCCCAAACCCACTCCTTCCACAGCCTCACTGATTTAGTGGCAATTCCACTCCTGCTCAGGTCAAAAGCATTTTCATCATCATTCTCTTCATTATTTTCTCGTACCCCACATCCGATCCATCAACTCATCCTATCAACTCAACCTTGCAGATGTATCTAGAATCTGACCACTTCTCATCAACTCCACTTGTGACATGTCAGCATCTCATGTGGGTCACTGTCAAAGCCACTTAAATCATCTCCCTGCTAAAATCCTGGAGACTTCAGTCAATCCTCAACACACAGCCAGGGCCACACTGTGGAAACACGCGTTAGATTGAGTCACTCTAATTCTCACAGCCTCTGGTGGCTTCATGTCTCATTGTTCATATATATGAACATATGAATATAATTAATCTGTTACTATCACTCAAAAAGAGAAAATCATACAAAATCAATAACCCCTGTTAAGTCTGAGTAGAAGAAGTTCAAACAGTTAAGCCAACCAGAAGCTTGACAGCCCAGGGACATCTCTCCCTAGGCTGAGGGAGAGAAACGGTTGTGTATAAGGAAACTCAACCCCCAAAATAAAAGTCTAAAAAAAGAAAAAATATAAAGAAGGCAAAACAAACAATCTGACTTGTAGATATTGGATAAGGAATCTAGAAGATGAAAGGTTCACTGACACCGCCCAGCCCCAGAACCTACAAGAGACAAGCTCTCCCAGGAGTCCCACGCTAATGAGTGCC